GGATGGAGGGTGGTGGTCACCATGGTAACCGTGCTGGCCTCTGGCTCTGGCTCCCGGAGAAGAGGCCGCCCAGAGGGGCCTGCTGGGGCATCGAGCGCTGCCCCTCCATCCGGTCCCTCTTCTCTCTGGGAAGTGGCAGGTTCGAGGAAGCCCCCGGCCCGGTGGCTTCCCCAGCGACCCTGTCCCTCCAGTTTTCAAGACAGCCGTTGGGTGGAGTTACGACTCTGGTCCCGCTTGATTTCTTACCGACAAGGGGGGGCCTTGAGACCATCAGCCTCCCCTTGCCAGCATCCCCCACCCCATTAGCTCCTCCTGGTGGGATAGTCATCCTTCCCAGCCACGCGAGGGTGGAATGTCATCCTTCCTGACTCCATGACCCAGACCCAGACCGGAGGAGACAACGTAGGCAAGAAGGAAAAAGCAAATATTCCACTGGGCCCATGCCAGTCGAGGTCTCTCGTGTTCCAGGCTCTGTGCCTGGGGGCAGCAGAACACGGGGCTGAGAACATGGGGGGCGGGGTTAGTCGTCAGCAGGGGGCAGATTCAAATCCTGCCATAACAGCTGTGTGACCCTCAGTGCTTCGGTTTCCTTATCTGTAAAATGTGGATAACAGTAATACCTGCCGGTTTTAGGGAACTTTGCTGTGGGTCTGGGACAACCCTGCATTGCTAGGTCTAAACCCATTGATTCTTCTTTTTTTTTTTTAATGTTTAGTTTTGGGAGGGGGCGGGGAGGGGCAGAGACAGAGGGAGAGGCAGAATCCGAAGCAGTTCCAGGCTCTGAGCTGTCAGCACAGAGCCTGACGCGGGGCTCGAACCCACGAAGCGTGTGAGATCGCGACCTGAGCCGAAGTCGGACCCTCAACCGAATGAGCCACCCAGGCTTTGATTCTTCTTGAAAGGTTGTTAGCGAAGATTCAGCACTTGGGAGGCCAACACGGGTCCGAAGGGCTATGATAGTTCTCTTGTTCTCTACCCGAGGGGATGGATATTAAATAGTCAGCACAGAGCACCAGCCGGGGATTTCAGTCCTCTGCTGGTGAGGTGGCTTTTCTCCCCGCAAAGCCGAAGAATGGCAGCCCCTGGGACCTGTTACCGGAGAGGCTGGCAAAGCGGGCTTTCCCTGCTGCACAGCGCATGACAAGCTCTGGTCCCAGGTCCACAGCTACACAGGCTCTGCATTCCATGGCATCTGGGCTCCCTGCCTCGTGTGCTTGCTGTAGGGTTTAAATGAGATAGTACGTGCTGTTTGATTGGAAAGCTCCTTGGCAAACAAACACTCCAGAGCACTTGGGAAACGTTTGCCGTTTTTACCATCATCACTGCTGCTAACCCGGGGCCTGGCACACAGCGGATACTCGGTATATGCTCATCAATTCACTGCTGGGCTGTTAGGCCCGGGGTTCCGAGGACCCTGGGAGGCACGGTCAGCAGAGCAGGGGGAACAGGATGGGAGCCAGGCCACAAAGTGGGGGCTGGCTGGAGGTGGGGCTGAGTCTCACGCTGGGGCTGGGGTGGTGGTGGGGTGGTTCTACAGCCCCCAAGGACCCTGTGTTTTCTTCTCCCCCAGCTGGGTGGGTGTCTGGGAAGGTTTCGTCTGCCAGGGAAACTCGGTTGGGTCGCCGCTGGTCTGTTCCCCCGTCCCTGTTCCTCAAAGGTGCCCTTGGCTGCCCATCCGGGATCTGTGCTGAGCAGGTGCCGCACGGGCAGAGCCTGGACATTTGGGGAAATACGGGGTTTTGACGTTTGTTTGAAATCCAGCCATGGCTCAGGGACCCCCATGGGTGGGGAGTCTGTTGTCTGAGGGTTCCTTCTGCTCCTGCTCGCTGGGTTGCTAGGATGGCTCTCTGTCTCTCTGTTTCCTGTCTGCACGATGGGGGTTGGATTAGTTGCTTTTTGAGGGCCTCGATGGAGTTGTTCTGTGACAGAGGTTACCCTGACAGGAGTGAGGGTCTGGGCAATGAAGCAGACAAGGCGACAGGGTCCCCACTGCACGATCTCAGGTGCCAGGCAGGCGGCTTTGAGTTTGCTGTGCGAGGCAGTGGGAGCCATCGAAGACTCCCTGCCCTTGTGGAGCCAGCACTCAAGTCCTGGCCTGCCCTATTACCTAGAAATCCTCACCACCCTCTTGGGGCCTCTGTCCTCCTTCGAACTGTCCCAGAACCCCAGAGTCATGCGCTCTCAGAGCTCCCCACTGCTTGTGGCTAATGGTGGAAACATCAGGCATTGGGCCAGGTAGCCCGGAGACCTTGACTCCCTCTGACAATCTCCTTCCCCACGCTGCACGGTCTGGTTCCGCTTCAAGGAGGGCTGGTGCCTTTGATCCCTGAGCCAGTGGGGAGCATGTCACAACTGTGGGCACCAGTGCCAGCTCTGGCCTGACTTCTAAGCCTCCCGGGCTCCTGGAAAGAACCCAGACTCTGCCATCTGGGATTTCCCCGAGTGCCTCGGGGGGAGGGCTGAGACTGTCCACCTCTGAATGTCTGAAGCGGAGCCATCTAGAGGTGAAAGCCACTCCATCTGCCTCACCAAGGGACTCAGTACAGTGGGTAACAGCAGAAGCAACCCCACACAGGGGCTCTGGGCACCACTGAGTCAGGTCACTCAGGCTGCTTACTGGCCTGTTTTGCCATCTGCCCCCCACCGCGGTGAGCCGTGTTGAGAGTCAGGGCCATGTCCCTAGGGACTTGGCACACGGCAGTTATGGTTACTGCCAAGTTCGTTACCGCGGTACAAGCTAGACCAGGGGGACAGGGAGCACTTCCGGAGAGGAGACTGAGCCACCACCTTGTGAATGGGGAAGGGTGCTTCAAGGGAAGTTTCAAGAAGAAGGGACAAATGGACGGGGCTGTGAAGGATGAGTAGGAGTTTGACCTGGTAGAGACAGTAGGAGGTGGATGCAAAGGGTATGCCTGGGGACAGCAAGAAGTTCAGCGCATGCCAAGGCCAATAGGAGAGAAAGGCAGAATTCACTGAGTTCACAGTGTAGGCAGCCTTGGATGTCAGGCTGAGGACGATGACGGAGCCAGGAGCCACGGAGGGTTTCGAATAGGGAAAGGCGTAATCAGAGCTGTGTTTCAGGCAGATTAACCCGGCAGTGGCAAAATGGTTTGGAGGCAAAGCAAAGCACTCTCGGGTTTTGTCTCTCAGCTCTGCTTCCAGCTGGTGACCTTGGGCAAATCACGTTCCCCTCCGCGGCTCCGCTTCCTCGTCTTGTCGGCAGGCCTGAAGATAACGCTCAGAGAATTAAACGAGGTGACGCTCAAAGCGCTCTGATGGCGCTGGGCACACCGTGCTGGCCTGGTGATTTGCGTGGGGCAGATTGGAGGGGCAGAGGCCACAGCTGGAGGCTACCGGGGAAGCTGAGTCAGGGCCCAGGTGAGAGACAGTGGGCGTGGTCTGAGGCCTCAGGGGAGGGAGGAGAAGTCCCAGGCCGGGACAGGCCCGGAGGCCCAGAGATCAGTGGCTTTGGAGTCCAGCAGGCCCGGTGTGAGTCTCAGCTCTGGTACTTCCCAGAGGCAAGGCCCCTAGTTTCTCCGAGCCTCATTTTCCTCCTCTGGAAAATGGGCCTGCTGACCCCCGTCGCTCAGGGCCCTGATGAGGAAGAGGGGGGATGGGTTCCAGGCTTCCGGGAGATACCTGCTAAGTGCACTTTGAACTGGAAGCTGGCAGGGAGGGCAGAGGGAGCAGAGGAGGCAGCTGGAAGGAGAGAAAGCATGGCAGGAAAGGGGAAGAAAAAAACCAGGGGGATGAGGGATGTTCACTGGTAATTAGAACGCTTGAACTTCAAAAAAGTTAATTAATGATGAAGCTGCTGCTGGAGCAGTGCTCAGGCTAGAAGGGGGCCCTAGCAGTGACTGCAATTAATTACAGGCTGTGGCGGGAGAGTGGCAGCGGGGTGGGGGGGGGGGAGGAAGGAGCAGGGCTGGGCGAGGAGGGTCTGAAGGGGAGGTGGGAAGGCAGGCGGCATCCCAGGGTGAGCGAGACCCGGGGATGAGAGGGAGGCCGTTGCCAGGGAAACCAGGTCGGCTCCCATCAGGCAAGAGGTGTTCGCCCCCGCTGGGTGGGGTCTGACCAGTGTGGCTACATCCAGCTTAGAGCAAGGGGCCAGGGTTTTCGTTCGGAGACACTCCAGAATCGCTGGATGTCAGAGCTGGCAGGGCCCACAGAGATTTAACTTATTCGTGTAACGGAGCTCCACCTAGATGCCCGTCACTGTTAGAGGTATGAATGCAAGACCCCTGTCCCCTTGGAATGGAGGTTCCAGCTGTGAATGAAGACAGCAAGCATGCCCACAAAACGACTTTGGAGGCCCTGCCCAAAGCTGGTGGCTGCAGAGTTTCTGCCCCCGGCCTGCCTGTGAAGGCTGAGCTCCACCCTCCTCGGTGCAGAGGCTGGGGAGGACCAACGCTCAGATATTCCAGAAACTGGTGACGAGTTCTAACCCCGCCCCTGGAAGAGGAGAGGACAGGGGTGTCCGGCCCATCTCAGCCACACTGGACAGGGCCTTTGGCCCCTCCAGTTCCAGGGCTAGTGGTAGATGTGGAGGAGCCATAGGTCAGGGGAGGGGAGAGGTGGTCACAGGAGGGAGGCAATGACAGTCAGAGAGAGGTGGTTAGAGGTGGAGAGGCAGGGATAATCCAGAGATGGCCTGCCAGCTGGGCCCTTGTGGACTTCTCCTTTCCTGGTCCTGAGGGGGACGCTCAGGCTGGGGCAAGGAAGTCGGGGAGGGGTCTCTCAAGCAGTAGGGTTGGTAGGGGTTGAGTTCTTTGATGGGTCTGGCACCAGCGGCCGTGTCTGTTGTGAGGTATGCAGACTGGTCTTTGGTCTCCGAGGTCTTTAAAAAAGTGGGCATTGACCCACTCAGAGGAGGCATCTGGAGGTGGGAATGGGGTGTATGCCAGCGTTTGTGGTGGGTGGGGGTATTAAGTGCCAGGGTGCATTCAGCCTTCCCGTGGCTACAGTCTTGCCGACCGTTTTTTCCTTGACTCGGTGTGTACATGGTTTGAATGCGTCAGCATGCTGGTGATCCTGCTGAACTGCGTGACACTTGGCATGTACCAGCCCTGCGACGACATGGACTGCCTGTCGGACCGCTGCAAGATCCTGCAGGTGAGGCCGGCCAGCCCTGCCTGGCTTGCTCTGCCCCGCCCCCCCCCACGCGGCCCCGCCCCCACCAGCCATGCCCCGCCCACGCACCCCGCCCCTTCCCTGCCATGCCCCGCCCACCCGCCATACCCCACCCTGTCTGTCATGCTCAGTGGCCTGCCCTCGCTTAACTGGTGTTTTCTTCATCACTCCCAACTGGTCTTACCCATGCCCCTTCTTGATCCTCTTTCCCCTCCGTCCCCTCCGTCCCCTACTCTACATTTTGGAGCCTCTGCCCTACTCTAGGCTCCCATCTTCCCCCACCTAGGTGCCTCCCCAAGCCTTCTCCTGCTCTTCCCCACCCCAGACTGACCATACTGTCCCATGCCAGTAGAGCACAAGTGACCCTGACACTTTGCTCCCCAGTGCTCTTGGGATAAAGGCCAAGTTCCATAACTCTCTCTCAGTGGCCCTCAGGAGCCGGCCTCCAGTGGCTCCCCTGTTTTCATCTCCGAGGTCCCAGGTGGGGTTCATATCTTTGGTACCTGCCATGACTCTATTCGGAACTTGTCTACCTGTAGTGCAGGGTGTTAGGGTTATACCCATTTTACAGATGGGTCTGACCATCTGTCATCATTTGTAATCATCATCCCATGGCCTCTCCCTGGGAAAGCCAGATTCCTCCTGGGAGGAATTCCTCCTGTGTTTCCACAGGACTCAGCAGTTTCGGAGCAGCCCAGGGTGCTCAGAATGCCTTGGGGCACTTGTTAAGAATCCAGACCTGGCCCATCCCAAATCTGCAGATTCAGAATCTCTGGGGTGGATCTTGGGTCTGAGTGGGTGACAGGCTCCTCATGCAGCCTCAGGCCCCCGGGTGGGGTTACAAGGGGTTACAAGGGGTTACAAGGGATGAGCCTCAGGCTGACTTCCCAACCAGGTGGTGAGTTCACTAAGGACCCCCTTCTATGTCGGCGACTCCCAGCCTACTTCCCGGCGCACAGTGAGTGGGCTCGTTTGTTGAAGTGAGTTGACCACAGCCCTCACTGATCCTGGAAAGAGGAATTCTACCCAGACTGTGTCCTCAGGAAATATATACTCACCTGAGCCCATGCTGAGGGACACATTTGGGGGCTCCTTTGTGGACAGAGGAAGGAGCGCTGAAACCTTCCTGGAGGAAGGTGTCAAGTCTGTTTTGAGCAACCTCCTTCCCCGTGGGCTTTGGAGTCACATTGATCTGAATGTCAGTTCTGGTTCTGCCACTTACCTTCCGCGTGACCTGGGGCAAGTCGCGGAACCTCCCTGAGTCGGTTTCCTCACCTGTAAAATGGGGCTCTCTGTGGGGTTGCTGTGGGAATTAGAAATGAGGATGAAAGTCAGCTGTCTAGCCCGGTGGTTGGCAGTTATTATTAGGGGGAGCCCTTTGCCCTGCCCTCCTCTGGGTCCCTTGTCAGTGTGCCTGACTTTAGGGAAAAAAGAGTGGGCTGTGTGACCTTGGGCAAGTTTATTCCCCTCTCTGGGCCTTTGTGGCCTCATGTGTGAAATGGCCCCATTGGGCCAGGACCTCTGAGGTTCTCTTCCTGCCCAAGAGGAGACGTGCCCAGGTCTCTTCCAGGCCTCTCGTGTCCATGCCTGGGTCCCCGCCTCATACTGTGGCTCCAACCCTGTGGTCCTGCTCCACAGCCTCATCCTGTCCCTTGCCTCTTGCCTTCCTCCTGCCCCTGCAGGTCTTTGACGACTTTATCTTCGTCTTCTTTGCCATGGAGATGGTGCTGAAAATGGTGGCCCTGGGCATTTTTGGCAAGAAGTGCTACCTTGGGGACACATGGAACCGACTGGACTTCTTCATTGTCATGGCAGGGTAGGTAGCGTACCTGAGACAGCTCTTCGCCTCCGGTGCACACCAGACATAAGTGAAATATTCTGTGGGGCTTCTTGGTGACAGTAATGATGCCACATCATGTAGGGCCTTCCCGGACCCCTGGGGTGGGAGGAATGATGGCCCTTTGCCGAATGGCCTGGGCAGACAGACACTCCTTCCTCCCCTCTCTGGTAAGTTGTATGTCCTCGGCATCGTCAGCCGGTACTGGGTCTGTTTTAACGCTAACTGTATGACCTTGAGAAGGCTACTTAACCTCTCTAAGCCTCAGTTTCCTCATCTGTGAAGGAGAGACAGTAATTACAGCGACAGCAAAATGAGCGCCCGATCAGTGTTAGCTATTATTTTTCTTACCCTAGATCGCTCAGCAACTCAGAGACAGAGCACAGACTCGGGACATATGTGACTCCAAACCATGGTTGCTTCTGTCAGGACACAGGCCGTGGTCAGAGAGAAGCCAGGTTACAACTTAGCCCACTTGGAGCATCTTGGACTCCGCTTTGGGCCTTGTTCCTGCTTTCTTGGGTCAGACCGGGCTGGTGGCTATTCGTGCATTCACCCAGCGGCCAGGGGTTGGATGAGCTCCTGCTAAGTGCCAGCACCATCCTAGGTATGGGGTATGAAGGACAGCAAACACAGACTAGGCCTTGTCCTTCCCAATGACTGTCTGGGGAGAGGCATCCAACAGCCATGCACTTGTCACACACACCGGGATAAGGCCCCTGGGAAGAGCGTTGGGGTTTTCTGAGAGCACCTCTGAGCCGTGTTGGGGGCTTGGGGGCTTGAGGACTTTCCTGAGGAGCCGACACACAAGAGCTGAAGGACAAACAGGTGTTAACCGTGCCCAGTAATGGGTCATAGAGCACAACTGAGAAGCGGGAGAGACAGGAGGAGGAGAGAAGGCTGGAGGCCTGTGCGTGCGTGTCAGTGTAGGTGACAGTGCGTGTATTCGTGTATGTGTGTGTGTCAGTGTGCACGCCTGCGTGCGGCTGTGTGAGATGCCATTGAGAAGGGGCAGGGAGGGAGGGCAGGCACATGGCCGAGATGGGAAGTCAGTGCCACCGAGAATATGCTAGGTGCCACAGGGATGCTCTGAGATGAAACGATTTGTCCACTAGTGTTTTAGAAAATGTTACGCATCGTCTAAACACCCTTCCCTGAGAACAGAATTCAAATGTCACAGCCACCCTGTCACTTATTTAGGCCTTGCTGGAAGCTCTGTGGGGCTCATATGGGTTCTCGTGGACCACGCCACCCCTCTCTCAAGAACTTCATTCTCCTCATTTTGGTCTGGCTGCAGGACCAGAATGCTTAAGGAGGTTTTTTTCTGAAAGACAAGGTGTTTGGACAGCGTCATTTTTCAGTCTTGCCTGTCCAAACAGGTTCCTTTGATCTTCCTGTGTGAAGGACAGTTTTTGTCTGTTCTGGAGTCCTAATTTCTCTCCCCAGAGCCCTGCATGTGGTCCACTCAAATCCACAAGCTAGTATTGCAGGTGAGTCTAGTTCAAGTCTGTTTCTTTTTCCCGGCTTTCCCCTGCCGGAAGCTTATAGGGTATTCTCCTTACCTTCAGAATTCAGACAGTCCACTAGGGCAAGTCTAGGTATAGGATTGCTCCCTGCAGGGCCTTCTAGAACTGGTATTTTCCTTCCAGTCAAAAAAAAAAATTTCTTTTAGGGGTGCCTGAGTGGTCAGTGGGTTGAGGGTCTGACTTCGGCTCAGGTCATGATCTCACGGTTCATGAGTTCCAGCCCCGCATCGGGCTCTGTGCTGACCGCTCAGAGCCTGGAGCCCGCTTCGGATTCTGGGTCTCCCTCTCTCTCTATGCCCCTCCCCTGCACTCTGTCTCTCTCTCTCTCTCTCTGTGTCTCAAAAATAAATACACATTAAAAAAAATTAAAAAAAAAAAAAAAAAAGAAAAGGGGCGCCTGGGTGGCTCAGTCGGTTGAGCGTCCGATTTCGGCTCCAGTCATGATCTCGCAGTCTGTGAGTTCAAGCCCCGCGTCGGGCTCTGTGCTGATGGCTCAGAGCCTGGAGCCTGCTTTGATTCCGTGTCTCCCTCTCTCTCTCTGACCCTCCCCCGTTCATGTTCTGTCTCTCTCTGTCTCAAAAATAAATAAACAGTAAAAAAAAAAATAAAAAAAAAAAAGAAAAAAATTTCTTTTATTGTTTCTTTGGTTATTGCCCATTCTTCTCTGCAGCCTCCTGGATTTCCCATTAACTGGATATTTCCCCACTCTATCTTCTCTGCATTCTCTCCCCTTTCTCTCGAAGATTTCCTCTGTCCTAGAAGAGAATTCCTTGACTTGTCTTCTGAATCACTAACGGTGTCCTTTCCTCCAGTTACTGCCCCGTCTGGAATTGTTCCTTTCCTCTGCATCTTGTTAATTCCCAAGATCGTTTCTCGTTTTGGGTTTCTCGTTTTTCAGAGCAGCTGAGACCTGTTCTTGTTTTATGGATGCCATAGTCACTTGGCTCTCCTTATGGATATTAATTAGGCTTCTTAACAGTCCTTTCCTGATCGTGAAGTCAAAGTGTAATTTCCAAAGAGTTAAACAAAAAAATGACTCGCACACAAATCTTAAAAGGCACGTGATTGACTCACCTCATTAATGAGGAACCAGGAGGATGGTAATCGGCAGAATTAGGAGAATAGGCATTGGAGAGAGAAGGTGGGGATAAGAGAATTAGGTCAGAAGCAAAGCTGGTTAACAGGCTACAGGGTCAAAGAGCCATAACTTTGGGGGTTATCCTTTCTAATGCACAGAAATCACTTACGAAAATCTGCAGGTTAACATGTAATTTCACAACAGCAAGACCTTTAGTTAACAGTAAATAGTGAAACAAAGGTATCTTCCCCTGGATCATGAAATAATCCTTAGATGGGTCTGTTAAGTAATGCTCCAAAATGACATTGTGAGAAATATTGCCCTCCCGCTGCCTTATTTCCAAGTTTTAGGACAATTTTTCTTTTCTTTAAAAAAATTTTTTTTCAATGTTTATTTATTTTTGAGAGACAGAGCGTGAGCGGGAGAGGGGCAGAGAGAGGGGGAGACACAGAATCCGAAGCAGGCTCCAGGCTCCGAGCGGTCAGCACAGAGCCCGATGCGGGGCTGGAACTCATGAACCGTGAGATCATGACCTGAACCGAAGTCGGACGCTTAACCGATGGAGCCACCCAGGCGCCCCGAGGACAGTTTTTCTTGACTCGTGTTTCGGGGAAGTCCTTTGTTTTGCTGGTTCCGTTCACTGCCTCCTATGAGCACCCCTACCCTGCCCTTTTGACTTGAAGAGTCTCTGTTGCTTACCGCTTCCCCCGTCTGCTCATATTTATAAATTAAGACAACGAAGGTCGAGCACAGTGAGGAGCGCCAAGGTCTGTTTGGTATCTTCTCGTGGTCCTTGGGTGAGGTTCACAGGCCAGCCCCCTCCTGGGGGCAAGGGAGAGCGGTGCGCATGTGCAGTCCCATAGGGCCCCGTGCCTGGTTTCCTGCTCTGTTCTCACCGTTTTGAAATTCTCAACAAGTTCCGAATGAGGCCCTGCATTTACATTTAGCACTGGGACCCACAAATTATGTAGCTGGTCCCGGCTCGGGGGCAGGTTCAATGGGAGACTTCTTTGCTAGGGTCATGAACACATTCAGGTGACTCAGACCTGTCTTCTTCTCGAGGTCCTCCTTGTCCTTTGTGCCTAGGGATGGTGTGGGTGCAGAGGGCAGGATGGGAAGCCACGACCTGAGGCTCCAGAGCCCAGCCCCCCAGCCCCAGCCCCAGCCCAGCCCAGCCCGGGGCTATAAATGTTCTGTTTCCCAAGTAACAAGCCTGACATCCCGAAGACATTTTCTTCCTTCCTGCTCCTCCCCTTCCCCAAATTACTGCCTCCTTTTTCAAGCTGTGGAGGAGACAGAATCTCCACGCTGGAAGGTTCCTTAGAGGTCAGAGCCTTCATCTCCATATCCAATCAGCCTCTGCTTGCCTGCCGCCGCCGTGGGGAACTCACATGGCAGCCGATCCCAAACAGCGATCTAGCACGCCTGATGGGCTAGAAAACTCTTTCTTTCACTGAACTGAATTTGTTTTCCTGTAGCTCCCATCTGATGAGAGCATTCATTCACTTATTCCTTTACAGAAATTAGCATTTATTGAGCACCTACTGTATGCCAGGCCTTGTGCTGGGCAGTGGGGGCCACGAGATGAGCGAGATATGCCATTGTGATCTCATGGTTTAGAAAACAGATATAAACCCAAGAATGCAATATAAATCCTAAATTGGGATCGATGCTGCTGCAAAGAAGTGTAGAGAACCAAGGGGTCATGGAGCAGGGACCTGATTTACGCAGGGGTCAGCGTATGCCTTCCTGAAGAAGAGAGGCCTGGGCAGTGAGTAAGAGCTGAACAGGCGGAGGACAGGGGAAGGGTATCTTGGGTAGAGGGAACAGCATGCAGAGGGCCTCGGGCTGTTGGGGAAGGGGCGTGAGGGGGGAATGTTGGAGCCTAGGGCTCCTGGGGGGGAGGTGGGTGCTGGAAGATGAGGGCAGAGAGGGGGGCAGGGGCCCGATCGCACAGGGGTCCCAGAGCCTGCGGGCAGGGGCATCTCTGTCATGACAGACTCACGACAGGACTGTCATGACAGTCCTGCAGAATTTGGAAGGCAGCTCCTTTCCCCCTCGAGTCTCACTTTCCTTCATGTGAAATGTGCCCAACACCTGCCACCATTTGTCAAAGAACAGATGAGGCAGCTTCACCTGCTGGCATCATATCAGGCTGTCGTGGTGCCCGGGGGTGGGGGTGGGGGAGCAGGTCCCCAACCTCCCAGCGATGACTCATGGGGCGGAGAGAATGGGCTGCCCTTGTCCCAGTGCCATGTGGTGACCCGTTGAGCGGCTGTGCTCCCTGCCACCCCCTGGTTGTGTTCACTTTCCGAGCCAGGTCTCTCTCACCTGGGAACTAAAAACAGGTTTTTGTTTTTGAAGTTTGTTTATTT